TGATACTCTGCTTGCACAAGAGCACCTAAGAATTGCTTTCCTGGTATTCATCTTCCCCTCTTCAGCTCTCAAGACCTTCAGCAGTTGCTGCTGGAACCTTGGTTCAAATGAACCCAAGAACAGCTTGCTATTGACAGCCCTGGACATTATCTCTATGATAATGGTAGTTTTTTTCCAAATGTTATTATAAAGGTGAGGTACAGAAGGGTGAGAGTTACATAAGTCAGATAATGAGTACATTTCTTTTTGGACAGTGTCATCCCTTCCCTTGCTCTCTCCCAGTTTTTCCCTCCCATCCCCACCCACAAGTTGTATAGTTCATTTCCTTCCTTCCTTCCTTCCTTCCTTTCTTTCTTTCTTTCTTTCTTTCTTTCTTTCTTTCTTTCTTTCTTTCTTTCTTTCTTTCTTTCTTTCTTTCTTTCTTTCTTCCTTTTCTTCCCTCCCTCCCTCCTTCCCTCCCTCCCTTCTTTCTTTTTTCCTTCCTTCCTTCCTTCCTTCATTCTTTCCTTCCTTCCTTCCTTTTGTTGGTCATGGAGCTTGAACTCTGGGCCTGGGCACTGTCCCTCAGCTCTTCAGTTAAAGTCTAGCACTCTACCACTTGAGCCACAGGGCCACTTCCAGTTTTCTGGTGTTTTATTGCAGATAAGAGTCTCATGAACTTTCCTGCCTCAGCTGGCTTTGAACCATGATCCTCAGATCTCAGTCTCCTGAGTAGCTAGGATTACAAGCGTGAGCCACTAGTGCCCGGCATATAGTTCATTTTCAACGGTGTCCAGTGAACACCACTGCTGCATTTGTGTGCCCTTTCTAGTTTTGCGTGCTTGCAAAATGCAAGAGTTATGGGTCACAGAGTTTTCCACTAAGATTTCAAAAGTAAGTCTGTGAAGCTGGGCAGGCAGTATGCAGCAGGGTTGGAGGCTCTTCAAGAAGTCTGTGACAGGGTCCTGTGTGAAACTGTGATGGAGACACCAGAAGTAAGGCATACCAAGAACAGGGGCTACCTGACAAGGAAAACTGAAGTCAGCATGCAGAGCCAGCCTGAGTTGCCATGCGGGCTTGTCAGCAGTAAGCTATACCAGAAACCTAGCCACAGATCTGTGTCTTTCCACAATGTCAGAATGGATTGAATAACAGTGAACTGGCAAGCTACATTAATTGTGTTGGTATTGAAGCTGGGTAGACAAGGGAAAAATGAGGTATGGTCAGCCTACAGCTAATACAGGACATAATACTTCATGTATTTCCCTTAAGATTAAGGGAACAGGGCAGGGAAGGTAGCTCAGTGGTAGAGCGCTTGCCTTGCATGCATGAGGCCCTGGGTTTGATTCCTCAGCTCCACATAAGCAGAAAAAGCAGGAAGTGACGCTGTGGCTCAAGAGGTAGAGCGCTAGCCTTGAGCTCAAGAGCTGATGGGCAGCGCCCAAGCCCAGAGTTCAGGACCCATGACCGGGAGAAAAAAAAAAAAGATTAAGGGAACAAAGTCATTTTAGGGGAAATGAAGCCAGATAGACTAGGGGAAAATGAAGCCTGGTGAAGGCAACTCAGAAAGATGGTATTTAGAAACATAGAAGTGCCATCTTTGCTTCAAAGAGAGACAACAGGATGCATTCCTTCTGAAGGGATGCAAGTCTCCCCCCAAGAATTAACGTTTGTCTGACAAGCTGTATGCCTTCCTGAGAAAAAGACCTCCCCAAAACTTAAGCACCTTCCTTATCTCAAGGATAAGGGTCTGTCTTGTGGCAGGATAGATTCTTACCTGGAAGAAATGCCCCCAAATATCCAGAAACTCAGAAAATAACAACAGGAGTAATTAGAGCAAAGCCAAAATGCTATCTTGGCATAACTTTGAAGTCAGACGTTCTGCTTTTAACATATAATACTCTTACCAGCTGTGAGTGTCTCTATCTCCTTGTGAGAGCACTCTGCTCGAGTGTGCCCCTGCCCTCCTGTTTGTCTATTTGTCCCCTTGTTTGCCTGCCTGCTTGCATACTTCCTCAATATAGCTCTGCCAAGTTTTCTTACTGTCGTGACTTGTCCAAAAATTCTTATTCTGCAGTCAAACTCAAGGACCCTAAGTGAAGAGTGCCAGCATTTAAAGAAACGTCACTGCCTGGCGCTGGTGGCTCATGCCTATAATCCTAGCTCCTCAGGAGGCTGAGATCTGAGGATTGCGGTTCAAAGTCAGCCTGGGCAGGAAAGCCCATGAAACTCTTATCGCTGTGGCTCAAGTGGTAGAGCGCTTGCTTTGAGCTGAAGAGCTGAGGAATAGCGTCCAGGCCCAGAGTTCAAGCCCCACAATGGATAAAAAGAAAGAAAGAAATGTCGCTGACCCTCTCCTGAATCCAGTGACAATATCAATTTGCATCGAAGGTCACTTGATAGCCTAAGCCTTTTTGCCACACAGATCCTTGATTCCATCTTAGTTGTTACTACAAACTCTCAGATAACACTATTATTTTACCATAATGCAGAAGTTACCGGATGGCTAGGAAGGGATTAAAGCAGGAATCAAGGAGGCCTTGACTAAGACAAGAGTAGAGAACAAATGAGAGGAGGGTCATTGTAGGTGGTCAGATAACCTAAAGAACCTAGTCTCAGAAGCAAATGTACAAATGCAGTCTCCCAGGTGCAGTGCTGGATGAAAGCATAGAGCTAAAGTGAGACCCAATAGAGTCCAGGCAAGGAGTTTCTGGGACCAACTGGATGGAACAACTTGAATGAGTCAGAGGTGGGAATCGAGCTGAAGCCCTGAGACAGAGTCAAAAGTTTAGCACCTTTTATTCCTTGACGCATATAGATGACCTGATGACCTGACTTCCTGTGCCTGAAATTAGTGTACACAATTACCTCCGTTCCGATGTTAGTCCTTGCTCTTACATAATTGTATCGACCCAGGGTCCAAGTGTGTTCACTAAGCTATAGGCCTGGTATTTCTGACAGAACTGGATATATTTGCTAATGTAGCTGCTGATTAGCATAAATAAAGTAATATTCATTTTGCCTCCATGTACGTTGACAGATGGTGATTGTTTCCTTGCCTAAACAAAATGTAAAGTCTTCCCTGTTTTCACACTCGAAGGGAAATGGTCAGAAGTATTGCTCAGCCTTCAAGCTGTTGTTTGTAGACTAAGCTAGAATAGGGCCGGCCTGTTCTCCTCAGAACTCATAACCAGCCAGCCCACGAGGGCTCACATTAGACCACCGTTTGCCAGGCAGGGTGTTCAGTCTTGCTTTGGTCTGGTAGGTCAATATCATTTTCCTCATCTCCTTTGTGCAAGAGGAACGTTTCCATTGTGCCTTCGCACCGTGGAAGTATGTTACTTGCTTTTTCACTTTTGTAGGGAGTTTACACTTGGGTTTGCTTTGAATCTCAGAGACTTCAGACTTGGACTTTTGGATAATGTTAGAACAGTTAAGATTTGGGGAAATCTTGGAGAAGGAATGAAGTCATTTTGTATTGTGATATGGACATGAGCCTTTGGAGTCCTGGGACAGAGATGCTATAGTTTGGATCTGAAGTGGCCAGCAGTGCACTATGTGTCAAAGGCTTGGTTCTCAGCTGGCTGCTATTGGGAGCTGGTGGAATCTTTAAGACATGGGGCCTAGAGGAAGGAGTTAGTTGGAATTGGAACCCTTTCCTGTCTCTCCCTCTGATCTCCCGCCACTGAGATGAACAAGACAACGTTGTTCTGTTGTACGGGAACTTGTTGGCGAGAAACAGAGCAGCCACATTTTGAGAGGTCGAATTGGGAGTCTTTATTGGAAAGCTGGCAACTGCAGGCGAACCCCTGTCTCAAAGACCTATACCCCAGAATGTAGCTTGCACAAAGCTTTTAAAGACAAAAACCACATATTTGGGGTGGAGACCCATGCCCAGCAAAAGCAGATCACATAAGGAGATACTCAGGAGCAAGCATTCTCTGTAGTAAAGCTTTCTTGGGGTTAAACAACCTGACATTTGCACTTCAGTGAATGGCCTATCTCACCTCTTGGCTCTTCGACAAGGCACCAGATGGCTGTGAGATCCAGGTGATGTTACTTAAACCCAGTATCCTTATTTCAGTTCCTGCCATGATCTACTGTGAGCCACAGGACCAAGGCAAGTGACCTTGAACCCCAAATGTCCATAACTGTGAGCCTTCAGGAACTTTTACTTCTCAAATGATAATGCATCTCACTGAAATGGAAACAGCAAGTCATAGTGATGGAAAACTGTGTAATATAACACCCATTACTCTCTTTGTAATCACTCTTAGTTAGCTGTCTAACTGTGGCCTGTGCTTGAGTTTATACAGTGTGTGCACGGTCTGGTACCATCCTCAGTTTCAGGCTTCAGTGGGGACCTTGGAATGTATCCCACAGACAAACAGAATAGGGAACTACTATATTTGAAGAGGTGATTAGGTTAAATGAAGACATGAAGTTTAGTTCATCGTGGTGATCTTAGAATCCTTGTAGAAGACACCAGAGAGCTGAGTATCTCTCCCTATTTGCTCTCTGCGCGCTCTCTCTCTCTCTCTCTGCGCTCTCTCTCTCTCTGTCTGTCTGTCTGTCTGTCTCTCTCTCTCTCCCTCCACCTCCACTCTTTATCATACTGGAGATGTCAGAACTATGAACCTATTCTTTTATAGTTGAAGAAACTTTAAGATATGTATGCTGTTTTACTGACAAAAGCATCCTAACTGATGGAAGAAAAGGTAAATGAGTTTCCCTTTGCATTTGCAATCTTTTCTTTGCAGAAAACAGAGCTAAAGCTGATGAAAGGTTATGTTATTTACCTGCCTCTGATGAAGTTCAAAGGACAACCATGCTAAGGATTTCAGAATAGACTGGGGGCAAAAAAAAAAAAAGAAACAGATTGAGAAATAGATTTGTTCATCTCTCCTCCCTTCCCTTGCTCCTCCCACCCCTCCTCTCTTTGATAAAATATGCTGGAGAACACCTTTTCAAGCAGCTTATTTTTTTTTGCTCAGGAATCACTGCTAGAGCACTGGGACTTCAGACTGTCTCTCTGCAAGATGTACCTTAGCGCAAAGAATCACCGCATCCTTCTAAGTGATGGAAACAGCATTCCCATCATTGGGCTGGGTACCTATTCAGACCCTGTACCGGTAAGTTTTGCTCATTTCCTCTCTGTTTTTGTCTCTTATTTTCTTTCATTTTCTCATTTTCTGTTTCTCACTTGTCTCTCTCATTTTCTCTTTCTCATTTTTTTTCTCTCTGTTTTCTTTTCTTTCACACACTGGCCTAAAGTATAATCTGTAATTCATTTTGAGTTGATCACATTGATTTTCTTTTGTAATAATAAAAACAGACTTCTAAGAACAACGGTTTGCTTACCCCGGTATGATCCAAAGGTTAAACTTGATCAGTTCATGGTTAAAGATTAGTTTATGGCTTATGGAGATTTGGTGGGTTTTCTTTTTCCTGTGTCTGGAGAGATAAGGATGTAGGATGTGTCCATGGAAGGCCAAGGCTAGCGCAGCTACTACACGGAACAGAGGTTAGAAGTGATGGTAATTGGCTTTAAAATGCAAGTTGAGGCTGGATTGGTAAGGGTCCTAGATAACATAAAAAGTAGAAACTGCGTTGTACAGAACTGAAAAATCATCTGACCTTTAGTGGAAGGGTAAAAGCCTCCCTGGATCTGTGTTTTTGCAAGATAACTCTAGTGACAGCATACAGAATGGGAGACAGGGGCACAGAAATAAATGAACAGGACCAAGAGTAGTTGCTTGAATCACAATCCTTGGAAGTGGCACTGTGGCTCAGGTGATAAAGTGCTAGCCTTGTGCAAAGGAGCTCAGGGACAGCGCCCAGGCCCTGAGTTCAAGCTCAGTGACCAACCAAAACAAACAAACAAAAAATCCTGAATACACAATCTTACATGCCACTGCGGTATTGCAGTATTGCAGTATTTATTTATTTATTGAGTGGTGATATAGGGCTTGAACTCAGGGCCTTGCTCTCTTGGCTGGCTTTTTCACTCAGTCTTGGTACTCACATCTCCACTTTCAACATCTCTGGTAAATTAGAGATAAGAGTCTCGTGGATTTTTCCGCCCCAGCTGGCTCAAGCTTGTGAGAAGCTAGGATGACAGGTGTGAGTCACCAGCACTTGGCTGTCACTGTGTTTTTTGGTGATCATATAACACAGGAAAGTGTGCTCACAGAACAAGTCTCTGATGAGTCTGTATCCTTAGTCACCTCCCATTCTTTCTTTACCTTTTTACCTGTTTTATATTCTTGATTCCAAGCTCATTTTATGCAGACTCCAAATCCATACGTAATCCTCTCATTTTGTCTCCTCCACGAGGGTATGGAATGGCTATTCAAAATCACCGGAGTACTAGATACACTTGAGTGTCACCCCAAGCTATTGAATCTGGCTTTCTAGGGGTAAAAGTGAGAATCGACCTTTATCAGCTCCCTAGGAGGTTCTGTTGTGCAACCCAATTTGGACTCCAAGTGCTCCAGAAACTTTAACTCAACAAGACGAAACTAGACTCATCATCTCCCCTGCCCAAAGTGTGCTTCTAACAAATGACATTGTGCCTCCCAGCCACCCATGCCAAAATTCGGAATACTTGCCTTCATTCTGCCCTCTTCCTGGTCTCTCAGGGCCCTATATTACATCCAGATAACCTCTGAGTCCCTGTTGATTTTCTCTCCAAAACAATCGCCACTTCCCTCTGTAGTGCCACCGTTTTTCCCTTAAGCTTCGCCTCTTGTTTATCTTCCAGTTTTGTCTCTTGACAATTCGTTATTCCAATGGCTGGCTCCTTGTCAACCACGGGGAGAATTTTGCACCTCTTATCCTGTACTCAGAACCCTTGTGGGTTAGCTGACTTATGAGCTCCATCAACTCCTCTCCCCCCCGCCCCCCAGCTCTCCGTGTGTGTAAAACACGATCTAAATTCCCAAACGACTCTCTCATCTCTGTGCCTTAGAATTCAATGCCCTCTGCGTGAATCAACTTCTCTGGCTTTGGTCTTTTAGGTGACTTCAGTATACTTTTAAGACTCAGAGCAAAGGCTCTCTCTTCTTAGGAACCCATCTCCTTGCCAGCACCCCACCCCCATCATACACCCCTCCTCTGTGTTTATCTAGCAATTGAGCTTGCTTGACTCCATCCATGCTGCTGCTTATCATGGGATGAGCTGTTTCTCTGTGGTTTTCCTTACTAGGTTGTGGCATTTGTTGGGAAAGAGACCTTATCTTGTTCAGTGTTAGAGTGTCCAGGATGTGTGTCTGGCTCTACAACTTGAGCCATAGCCTCAGCCCTTTCTATTTTCAGTTGTTGATTTGGATAGGTCTTGGGTGGTTGGGTTTTTGTTTTTGTTTTGCCTGGAGCCATCCTGGACATTCACCATCTCCTGTATGCTGTCCACATGGTTGCGACCGCAGGCACAAATGCCCAGTTCATTGGCTGAGATGAAGCTCTTACTGACTTTTTGCCCAGGCAAACTGTGACTTTCTTGATCACTCTTTGCCACAGTAGCGGAGATTCCAGACGAGAGGCACTATACTTGGCCTCAAGTTACATTTCTAAGGCTACAAAGCCGACAGCACACCTGGGGTGAATGGATTTAGCCTGCCAGAGGAGAAGTGCACTCTAGGAGGTCCCTTCTGTTGCCACCCATAGCTTTTTAATCACAACAGCATGGAATGGAGGGTTGTCACATTAGCTGTAGCTCGTGCAAAGTGGTCTAATGAATGAAAATTACGCTCAAGGCTCCTCCATCTTCCTCTCAACCCCATCTCCCTGTCACCGTAGAATTCCAAGGGGTCCTGTTTGGCGTCAGTGAAGACTGCCATCGACGTTGGGTACCGCCACTTTGATGGGGCCTATATCTACCATAATGAGCATGAGGTGGGTGATGCCATCAGAGCCAAGATCGCAGAAGGAAAAGTAAAGAGGGAGGACATTTTCTACTGCGGAAAGGTAAGATCTGGACCCTGCGCTCGCTCCATCTCTTTATATTCATGGTACAATTTCTGTTTCTCCCTGCTAAACACTGTTAGGACTACCAAGAGGGGGAGGCCATCTTATCTTCTTCCTTCTCAATGCTCAGATTCTCAGTGTTGCCAAGAACATAAGGATCTATTAGACTGCTAACGATGAGGGTGAAGCTTTTTCTTCATATTGATTTCAAAGTATATCAGTTGGAATAATGCCAATTCTATAATCTGTATACTAGAAAACTGGGATGCAGTGGGAAAGATGAAAGTGGTTTATATTATATAAGCATTTGTTTGTCCATATATTACTACTTTTTAAACTGAGGTAAAATTCACCTGCCACATTATGTCAAGATTGCACCCATCACAATGAGCTAATTTCATAATACCTTTATCCATAAGGAAACCCGTGTCCAATAGTAATCCTTTCCACGCATTTCTCTTGCCCAGTCACTGATAACTGTCATTTTCCCATTCTTGACATTTCATTCCATTTCATAAAGTCAAACAAGTAACCTTTTGAATCTCCCTTCTATCACTTAGTACAATGTTTCCAAAAGTTCATCCACATAGAACTGAAAATATACCTATCTCATAACCTGACAATGATACATATACTGCAGAGCTTTTGCTCTGATGAGTATCATTAATTCAGAGATCTAGAGTAGCACTAATTAGGAGACTCAAAATTAGGACCGAGCCTCAGGCCCAATAGGATGGGCATCTGAACTGTGATACATGCAATACAGTATGTAAGGAAGCATGAATGACGTGCAACTAAGCAAGTCAATGGGGAACATGTTTGAAAAACAGGATGTGAGGGGGAAAGGGAAGTCATCAATAGTATTCCATTTTCATTGTCATTTAGAATATATTTATAAAGAGTGACTATAGAACCAGGCAAGGAAAATATAAACCCTAGAGTATGTGTCCTTTGCATGCGTGATACTGAGTGGCCTTCCTACACAAGTAAAAGTCTATTTCTTTACCTCTTAAGCAATACTTGATTATTCACCTTCCATCTGTGTGTGTGTGCGTGCATGTATGTGTGCATAGTTACACGCTTTTATTTTTCTTCTAGTCCTGGGGCTTTAATTCAGGGCCAAGGTGCTGTCCCTGAGCTTCTTTTGCTCAAGGCTAGTTCTGTACCACTTGAGCAGTGCCACATTTGGCTTTATTTGAGAGGTTTGTTGGAGATAAGAGTCTCATGGACTTTCTTGCCCGGGCTGGCTTCAAACTGTGATGCTCAGATCTTGGTAGTGAGGATTATAGGCATGAGTCACCAGTGCCAAGCTAGTTTCACTCTAATGGATACAAAATAATTTCCATCTGTGTCCATGGCTACTGAATGTTTGGATTCAGCCAACTACAAAAAGAAAAATCCAGAAAAACATATATATCTGTACTGAACATATACAAACTATTTACTTGTCACCTTTCCCCTACACTATATAGCATAGCAAAAATTTACATAGCATTTGTATTGTATTAGATAGTTGAAGTAATTTGAAGATAACTTAAAATATATAGGATGATGTGCAAATAGCATGAGCTGTGATATAAGGGAGTTCTGCCTCTTGGACACGAAAGAATGAACTATATACTGTATGTAACAAAAACAGTTTTCCTCTTTAAGGTAAATGATAGATGATGCTGAAATCATACAAAACAAAGTCTTGAACATTCTTTTACTATTGGATAATTACAAGTTTGAGAAAAATAATAGTAAGCAGAGTATTGATGTGAGGAAGGAAAGAGGATTAAAAGAAGTAATTGAATGATTTTAGTAAACTCAGAAATGGGATCCAATTTTCAAACCAATGGATTTTTTTCGATAAGAGAAAATGGATATAAGTTAAAAAATAAGATCACTAATCTGAAAGTTACTTGTTTGGGCTTAGGAGGACAACATATAAGCCTTTAGCTTAACCTAAGCTAGAATCATTTCTTACATAAATGCTAAAGTTAACATACGAAAACATGTTTCAGAAAGAGGGGAGGAGCCGGGACCTGGTGTCTCATGCCTGTCATCCTAGCTACTAAGGAGGCTGAGATCTGAGGATCATGGTTCAAAGCCAGTCTGGGCAAGGAAAATCCATAAGACTATCTCCAATAAACCACCAGAAAACCGGAAGTGGCGCTGTGGCTCAAGTGGTAAAGTGCTAGCCTTGAACTGAAGAGCTGAGGAAAAGTACCCAGGCCCAGAGTTCAAGCCCCACAACCAAGAAAGGAAGGAAGGAAGGAAGGAAGAGAGAGAGAGAGAGAAAGGAAGAGGGGGGAGGAATGGTAGAAAATGGAGAGAGGAAGGGTGGGCAAATATTATCATAATATTCAATGTACATATTTGAAAAATCGAACCAGGTAACTTGAAGAGACAGGTGGGGTTCCGATAGATGAGGGAGAAGACAGGAGTGATGTTGGTCAAGATGCATTGTACTGTACATGTACTGCACATTGTACTGTACATTGTTCTGTACATGTAGTGTACATTGTACATGTAAACTGACATGTTGAACTGAAACTCTTTTGCACAACCACTTAAAGATAATTGCTTAAAATATATATAACTAATAAAAATAATAATAATAAATGAAAGAAGTGGACTGGAGACAGAGCTCCATGGCAGACAAGGCCTGGGATTTGCTCTCCAGTACATACACACACTCAGAAGAAAAATGTGGTCAAATTATCCTTTGGCATCCTTAAATTTGTCCAAAAAGTCAAGAGCAACTCACATAAGCACAGTATGAGTATAAGTGAACAGGAAATGTACGTGTAGCTGAGTTCAGTGGTGGACAACCACTGTTGCTCCAGGAAGATAGGTTTTCAGTGCAGCTCCTGGGAGGCGTGGAGAGCTGGCCATGTGCACAGGCTTTGCTACTACCCTCACCCCCAAGTCACCATATACTGATTCCATAGAACATGATGCAAAGTAGTGCACAACCACCTGCTGTATGTCCTAGATCCGCTGCAACCAGTTGTGCCTTGCTTCACATCTGGACCTCAATCTTCCTCTCCATAAAATGAGGACAATGGTACTGACCACCTCCTAAATTGTTAATGATTTACCATTTAGAAAACATTGAAGTAGTACCTGACACATAGCTAACATCATACATAACATGTATTAAAGAAAAGTAAAGTAAAATATAGAAGAGATTTCCCACCCCGTGAAGACATAGTAGCAATTTAACACCAGAAGAACCAGCAAAGTTGGGCCAACTAAGCCTTAATTTTTTCAATATGTAACCCTTCATAGATTAAATAAATCCCTAGTCGGGCTGGGAAGGTGGCTCAGTGGTAGAGCACTTGTGTTGCATGCATGAGGACCTGGGTGATTCCTCAGCATCTCATAAGCAGAAAAACAAAGCCGGAAGTGGCGCTATGGCTCAAGTGGTAGAGCACTAGCCTTGAGCTGAACAGCTGAGGGACAGTGCCCAGGCCCAGAGTTCAGGCCCATGACCGGACTCCCCCCACCCCCCCAAAAAAGAAATCCCTAGTCAAAATAAGATTGACCTGGAGTCTGAGAAAGATCATCTGAAAACAATGAGCCTAGAATAGAAATTTAAATCTATGCAAGGTTTTTAAATGCCACCAGCTTTCTGTTACCAACTGAAGGATCCAGTGAGGTCAGTTACATTGCCCAGCCAACTTCCCAGCCAGGTTATGTCAGAATATTGAACTAGATCTGTGTACCCTGGTGGCATAATGGATAAAAGTGAAAACACTGAGGGAAATCAAATGCAGGGCAGAGAAGACTTGGTCATCGAATTTGGTTCTCTGTGGCCAGATGTTCAAGTCTCTTGCACTACATTCATTCTCTGGTGTCAAGGATTTTGTCAACTCATCCTATGCTAGACGACACTGAAGCATAAATTCTTTTTTTTGTTTGTTTGTAAGATGAAATGTGTAGTAGTGCTTCACAGGGAATAGAGGGCTGTGACATTCATTAACTATTCCTCTTGACTCTTCCAGCTATGGGCTACGAACCACGTTCCGGAGATGGTCCGTCCAACCCTGGAGAGGACGCTCAAGACCCTACAGCTGGATTACGTGGATCTCTATATCATTGAAATTCCCATGGCCTTTAAGGTGAGCTCAGATGCCTAGCAGTTAGACCTCACACCCCATGAGCTGACAGCTATGTGCAGGAAGCATACCATTTCTGTGCTGTCACTCAGTGGCATGGAATGTTATCTGTTAACACTAACCTGGTCTGACCAATGTCCCAAATGATTCTGTAAGCCAGCTTAGGCCTGAATTCTTAACTTGATATAGTTCTGCTCTACTATGTTTTTGCCACTATAGTTGACACTTTTTCCATCAAGTAGTTACATAACTTTGGTCCACATTTTGATTGCCAGCATCCAAACACATCCTTTTTCTCTTTACATAGTCATAAAAATGGCACCACACAGCATCATGCACAGTAGTAGACAGATATAAAAACATATTTGTCTATCTCCTCCAATAGGAATCAACCTAAAGAATGGTCAGATTTTTGGAGCTACATCCAAAGTCAAAGTATCCAGATGTTATTGATTGCTCTGTTCAAATGTGATATTACCTCTATCTCTCTGTTCATAGACACACTGTAAATTTAACACACCCAAGACATACAATGCAGAGTAGCAACTGCTTTAAAATATAATTTAGAGAAGGAAAGATTAAAGAAGAAAGCCTAATATCAACAAGTATACTTATCTTTCTTGCAGGACCTTACAAAAAGATTTAAAGAAAGAAAAGAATAGAGGGGGTGGGAAGGGAGAAAGAATGCCAACAAGCCAGTGTTTTCCTACTAATTCTCAAAGCTTAGCTTAGCTTTAGTTGGCTGATTGATCCAGACAGACCAAACAACAATATAACCAGATGCCGGATTATCATATCAGAAATTGCCAGTTCCCAGCTGGAGGTAGAAGATTCCTCTTTGTTCACAATTTCAGTCTGATCTGATCAACTCTGCATTTTAGGTCCATTGCTTGGAACATACCACCTCTGTATTAGTCAGAACTCTTGTGGTAGATGCAGAAATTCAATTCAAATTGACCTGAGGCAGGGACAGGGGAGGAGAAAGAGAAACTACAAATTTGTATCTAATTCAGATACAACTGGATTCAGAAGTTCAAACCTTGTATCTGTATTCTGGCCCTTTCTCCAGCCTCACATTCTCCCCAAATCTCTATTTATCATGGCAAAATGCTATTGGCTTGACAATTAGCCATTGCTAATTCAAGTTGAGAATTCAAGGAAAGCGAGACCACACCTTCTTCTGGTTAGTCTGTCTTGGGTCCTTGTGGGCCCAGTTCCTTGGCCATTGGTTTCTGTGGGCAAGAATAGAAACTGAGTCAATCCAGCCAAACAAAAGCAAGGGAGTTCTTTCAGAGAAGAAGCCATAGGGATAGTGGCAACCAAAATAATAAATTTCCACTGTATTCATTAAATAGATGTCACCAAATGACAAATGGAAGAAGCATGGGTGCCAGAGTGAGGCTACCTCGCTTGAATCCAGCCCTGTCAGAGTGACAGGGTTGTCAAGTTATCCCTAACCTCTCTCCTACATCCACAAAGTATGGTGAAATAGAAAGCGCATGGCCTTGGGAGTCACACAGGTAGAAAAGGGACTCGTGTTTAGCTTTGTTACTTAATAGAATAGGGACTATGATCTTTCTGAACTCAAATTCCATTGCCAATGGAAGAGAGATAATTAATTTGCAGGGTATTGTGAAGAGTTACTAAAATTAGTATGCAAAGTTACTACTGACACTCTGCCAATTAAAGATAATATTTAAAAGTTTTAGCCGAAAGAAACCATCGGCCTCAGTAACTTCACTGCTTGCATAAAGGAGAAGTCAAAGCTCCCAAGGATGGGCTAGTTTATTCATGTTAAAAGCGATAGGCTCATAGACACACTGTAAGTGCAACACCCATTCTCATTTTCCTCCCCTCTACTCCCTCATCCTCTCAAACCTCACAATAGACTGCAGGTGTCACATCCAGAGCCCTTGTCCTCACTCATAAAATGTTGACTCTTGTCCAGATGGTAGGGTTTCTATCTAAGTTTTAAAATTGAGGGAAACCCTTGTATTTAAAAGTTAGAACATGAAGTTTGCTTTTCTACAGTTGTAGTAATTTTTACAAATTTTACAAATATTTACTTTCAGAGAAAGTAAATAGAGAATTTGTTTATATGCTTGGTAGGTTCAAGGCCATAGGTAGTGAAACTTTTACCAAAAAAAAAAAAAAATGACACAGCATAATGACATTCCTTCCCAATGAATCTGCAATTGAGAAACCAATACTCCTGTAAAGTCAGATTGATTTTGAATCTCATGATTCTTAATAAAAAAACCTCTTTTCTTCTCAAAAGATTTGTTATCTTTTATCAAGAAGCAAATATATTTTCAGAACAACAAAATATAATTTAAAAAAAAAAAAAAAAGATGGGCACTGGTGGCTCACAGCTGTAATCCTAGCTACTCAGGAGGCTGAGATCTGAGGATGGTGGTTCAAAGCCAGCCTGGACAGGAAAGTCTGTGAGACTCTTATCTCCAGTAAACAACTCAGAAAATAGGAAGTGGTTCTGTGGCTCAAGTGGTAGAGTGCTCTCCTTGAGCTGAAGAGCTCAGGGACAGCGCTCAGGTCCAGAGTTCCGACAAAAAAATAAAATAAAATAAGTGAAGAAGCATTAGTCTATCATGTGGATTTTTAGAAGGCTGAATTCTTTCTCTCATGTGGCCTGGCATGAGGGAGAGGCAGAGGAGAAAGGAAGGGAGGAATACAAGGATGAAGAGACTGGTAGACACAGTGCAGATGCAAGTGTTGATCATGGAAGCATCCAACGTAGGCCCAAGGTTGACAAGCACTTAAAATCTAAGAAAACAATTATGTAACAGTTAATGAAGGAGGTATAGGCTACTGAAGATTATGGTAGAATGAAGAAATTAAAAAAGCAAGACATAGGAAGAGAGACTGAAGTAAACATTAGAGTCATAAGTATTGAGAAAGTCAAGGAGTTTAGGAATCGGAGACTGAAGGGGTAATTAATGTGAGTAATAATGTAGTATCAAGAAGAAGGGAGACTTGTTTCCTGTTCTCATCCAGATAGGAGGAAATGGAAAAGGGGGGGGGGGGGGGACTTTGCTAAAGAGAACAATGGGAGAAGTATTATTTGTCCAGAAGAAAGTTTTATAAAGGTGAATTATTATGAGGGAAAAAAAATTAGGAAAAGCTTCAGAATAAAGTGGGAATTTGTGAAATTGCTTCATTCCCCTTACCAGTTGATTTTGTGCTGATAAAAAAAAAATGCCTGAGCGGGCACTGGTGGCTCATTCCTATAATCCTAGCTACTAAGGAGGCTGAGATCTGAGGATCGAGGTTCAAAGACAGCCCAGGCAGGAAAGCCTGTGAGACTCTTATCTCTAATAAACCACTCAGAAAACCGGAAGTGGAGCTGTGGCTCAAGTGGTAGAGCGCTTGCCTTGAGCTGAAAAGCTAAGCCCAGAGTTCAAGCTCCATGACCAATAACAGCAACAATAAAAAGAATGCCTGAGATTGGGTAATTCATAGTAAGCAGAAATTCACTGGCTGACAGTCCTAGAAGTGTCCGTAACTAATATTCTGATCCCTGGAAAAGGGCTGAGAGAGCAAATCCACTCCGGTAGACACCTTCAAAAATGGCAATAGTCTACACACACAAACCCTTCTCACTAGTCCCTGCCTGACACTGGGGATTAAATCTCCAACACTCAAAGGTGTCCTGGGGACCCTTCAAATCACAGTAAGCTCCAAGAAGAAAATCCTCTTGCCAAAGTCAACAGAAACACCAGTGCTACAAATCCAGTGTTCATATTGCTCATACTAACGGATCTCTTGCCCTAGATGACTGCTCCCCCCTTCTTTAAACATTATTTTCCTTCTATGATCTCATCCTCTCATGGTTGGTTGGCTGCTCCTGCTTGGTAATCCATCAAATGTCATGCCTAGTATTTTTGCCCTTGATATTTTTGTTTTATGAGGCACATGTTCTCCATACATGAGGCCACCCAACCCCACAGATTTAATACCATCTAGCAAAGGAGCCTAGTAGCCTTGTTAGTGCAGTACAGTGAGTCCATCTCATAATAATGTTTCACAGATTGTATTTCCCAAGTACAGTCTCCAAACATGACCTCTTTCCGAGCCCCAGATCTCCTTCTCTTTCTGTCTTCTAAGATTCCTCTTTGAATATTGGATGATCATTTCAAAGTCAGTGTGGGCATTGGGGTAAACTCAGTGGCAGAATACTTGCTGTAGCATGTGTAAGGCTATGGATTGGATCCCCAGCACTATCTAAAACAAAATGTATCTAAGATGATATTCTTTATTCCCATCCCTGGTCTCAGGAACTGATTAGCACCATCTATACAAAGAATCTAGGATGCATGATTTTCCTCATTTGTAATAATTAGAATGTGCCTATAAATCTACAAGTAAACTCAAAGAATAGTAAAAGGCAAATAATTGCATTTGGATGTGATTAATTAAACAATAAATTGTCACGCAATGAGGACAAAGGAGGATATTCTTAGGAGAGGTTCACAAGGGCTCAATAGCTAGGTACATAAGATCATATAAAATGATGCTTATCAAAATGAACTCCAAGAAATGGAAACAAGAGGTTTTTTTTAATTATTCTGTTTGTGGTTCTATTTTTTTCACCCCCTTTGGTTTGTTCCCTTTTGTCAATATTGATTTCTATAGCCTTTGTCTTCTATTTAAGCTTATTGGATTTGGAGAGGACAGAGGAAGCACAGAAATGGTAGAACAAAGGGTGAACAAGTTCAGCAGTGATACTCACTAGACACTATGTTGGACATGAACGATACAACTTCCAAGGGAGGGGGGACCCGGAGGGGAAAAATTGGGGAAAAAATGAGGGAGGGGGCAACACTATTCAAAAAGAAATGTATTTACTACCTGACTTATGTAACTGTAACCTCTCTGGATATCATCTTTACAATACATTTTGAATTGAAAAAAAAAAAAAAGAAGCTAGGATCCACTTTGATTTCTCTCTTTCCTTCCCTGCCATCCCATCTAATTTCCAAGTCAACGCAGAGATGTATGGGCTCTGTTCCTGCTTTCTACATTAATCTATTTCCTTCTTTTTATCTCTCCTGCTATTTTCCCAGGCCAAGGCATTATCACATCTCATCTCTTACAGTAGCAACTTTGGTTGAACTTCCCAGAAGCAGACCTTAAGATGAGGCAGATCCATGTGGAGTGGTTTATTAGGAACCACTGATAGAAGAGTGGGAAAATGTGGCCTGGGAAGAAAAGCCACCAAATAGAAATATAATAGAGAGAAAATTCCCACAGAGAGCAACTTTGGCTTAACCTCACAGGAACCTCTGGCCAAAGTTTGCCACATCTCAGAATCCCTTGGTCAAGGAACAGGAATACTCTGCAACTATTGTTTAAGAAAGTCTCATAATGGATGTAGATTGTTGGGCTGATGTCTATCTTTTAACAAATGGGTGTAAATCAATGCTGTTCTGTGAAACATTCATGGCATCCAAGAAGGTCTTATTCAATCTGCAATAACAAAATATGTTGGACTGAGTAACTCATGAACTAGAGAAACTGATGGCTCTCAATTCCAGAAGCTGGAAAACGCAATCAAGTTCAAGGTGGCTTTCCATGCAGTGTATGTGAAGGGCCCCATCTTCATAGATGGGATCTTCTATATCTTAAGGTGAAAGAAGTCTCTTGATAGTGTCTCTTGAAGCAGGCCACCTGTGACACCAATTCCATTCTCATTTTCCTACACTCCCTCTGCCTCATCCTCCCAAGCTCAATGACAGACTGTCATGATTTCTTGGTTCCAGACTCTTGGGCATTACAGTCTGAGCCCTTGTCCTTCCTTATGTAGTTAATGTTGACTTTTATTCTAAGGGTAGATTTTGATCTGAGCCTGAAATGTGGGGAGCACATGTACTTAAAGTTAGGAAGTAGAGTTTACTTTCCTGTGGTTTTGTAATTGCTTATACAGCACTCTTTTAAAGAAAGTAACTCAAGAATTTCTATTTAACTTCTTCATAAGATCTAAGTTCAAAGACATAGATTTTCAAAAACACCAAGACTAACAGTTCTAATTCTCAACTAGCATATGGTTTTATTTATCTATTTTTTGGTGGGTGCAGGGATTGTTTGTTTGGGGTTGATCTCGGGTCATACGAGCCTGTGCTCTACATTCTTGAACAATACCCCAGCTCTTTTATTTTTGTATTTTGCTTCTGAGATAGAGACTTTCTAACTTTTTCTGGGCAGGCCTCCACATTCTCAGTCCTTTAATGTCTGCCTCCTGAGTGGCTTAGATTATAGGTGTGTGTCATGACCAGCGTTACTCCTTTCTTTTAAGAGAAATGCTGTCCTTAAGAGAGAACTCCATGGCTTCAAACTAATAACTTGTCATTCAATGAAGAAAAACTCACTCCATTCAGTAGAAATGTCAGGCAAAATAATGAGAAATGCATCACCTATATTGAGCAAATGAAAGAATTCTTAATCACACATAAGGGAAGAAAATATACATAATATCAGTGCAAAATAATACAATCATATATATGCTAGATATAATAACATAGTAATATTACCATTATATTATATGATATAATAGTACCTATATTATATACTGTTAAAGCTATTATGTGCATATAAAACACATATACTATTTAATATAGGGTTATGTAAATATATGAATAAGTAAACTTGAATTGCTTTCCTAAGATCAAAGTATGTAAGAACATAGACAATTCAAAGTTTTAAATTTTAATTCCAAGACACAAATAAGATGAGTAACATTTTATTTTATTGTGTATGTGCGTATGTGTATGTGTTTTGTTTGTTTTTAACAGCCCGGAGATGAAATCTATCCTAAAGATGAAAATGGCAAATGGTTATATCATGAATCAAATCTGTGTGCCACTTGGGAGGTAAGTTCACATGGCTTCTTAGTTTAAAAAGTGACATTCTGGGTTGGGAAGGTGACTCAGTGGTAGAGCGATTGCTTAACATGCATGAAGCCCTGGGTTTAATTCCTCAGTACCACATAAACAGAAAAGCCAGAAGTAGTGCTGTGGCTCAAGTGGTAGAGTGCTAGCCTTGAGCACTGAGAGGCTTAGGGACAGAGCCCAGGCCCTAAGTTCAAGCCCCAGAACTGGCAAAAAAAAAAAAGTGACATTCTTAGTCAGGTGGGGCCTTTGGATCATGCCTGTAGTCCTTGCTACCTGGGACTATTGATGTTTGAGGTTAGTCTAAGACTACAGGATATCAGACTTAAGGAGAGAGGTGAAACCTTCTAGAATTTCACAAACAAACCCACAAAGAGAGAAAATGGAATCATGAAAAATAAAGAGTCTAAGATAGAAAACAAAAAGAAGACAAGACAGAAAGTGAAAAGATGAAAAATAGAAAATAACTCATCAATTACACAGTGATAGCAATGACCAAAGAATATATAAATAAGTAAAAGCCAGTGGCTTGCCAGGTGCTGTTGGCTCTCGCCTGGCATCTGGAGTCTGGCTGAGACTGAGGATCATAGTGTCGTTGTACAAATACAATGGAATTACCCAAAATGGGTAAGTCATTTATGTGTTCATTTACTATACATCAATTGTAACTTGATAAATATGTTTGATTTTTTCATTTAAGATTTACAAACTGAAGCTATTTACATTCAATGAGCATGATGTCAGCTTTTTTTTTGGGGGGGGGGGGGGTCCAGTCATGGGGCCTGAACTCTGGGCCTGGGCGCTGTCCCTCAGCTCTTCAGCTCAAGGCTAGCACTCTACCACTTGAGCCACAGCGCCACTTCTGGCTTTTTTTTTTTTTTTTCATTTTGCTTATGTGGTGCTGAGGAATCGAACCCAGGGCCTCAGGCATGCAAGGCAAGCGCTCTACCACTGAGCTACCTTCCCAGCCCCCATGATGTCAGCTTTATGTTGATTGTGTTTCTTCTATCATCAGTAACACCGGAGGCAAAAAGTTGATAGAACAGTGTTTTCAAAAAGCAGATGATATACATTCTCAGAAATGTGGCACATACAGACCCATGTTGAAAAACCATTTAGAGGCCTTAAAGTGTGGCTCAAGTGGTAGACTGTCTGCCTAGTAAGCCCTAAATCCTAGTACCACCACAAGCTATTACTATCTTGGTTAAGAGAAAAAAGTATACATATATGTATGTATGTATATATACATATATATACATACACACATGAATTTTAAAGGAAGAAAAGTTAACAAGAAGAAAAATATAGACATGAAGTAAAATAAGAAATTAAGATGGTAGAAAACAAATATATCTATACTTATAATAAATATAGATAAATTAAACTTCCCATTAAAAGACAAATGGTGACAGATTGAAATTGAGATAGGGTACTAACTAAGCATTTGGACATGTGAAAGTTGAAACTGAAAGTTTGACTAAATAAGAGACACTATTAAAAAATGAAAAATAACCTTAAAGAACAGGAGAAAAACATTACAATCAAATATTCATCAGAAAAAGATGGCATAGTTATATGATGTCAGATAACATAGACTTAAAAATCAAAAGCACTATTAGGAACGGAAAGGGTTGTACATAAAAATAAAAGATTTAATTCTCCAAAAAGATAGACTAGTTGTGAACATGTTAAATAAAGTATCTCCAAAATAAATATAGCAGAATATTTTCTATTAATTTTTCCATTGATACAGGAAGTTATTGTGAGTTTTTTCTGTACAGTCCTTGAGAAGTCAAGCTAGACCAAATCTTATATATGTGTGCATGTTGGCACATGTATCTATGAGTGAGAGTTTTATATTCAAAACTGGGAAAATATATACTTAGTACATACTTTGTGTGTGTGTGTGTGTGTGTGTGTGTGTGTGTGTATGATGCTAGAATTGAGTCTCTAGCATCACTCTTGCTAGGCAGGTGATTTACCATTTGAGCCAAACTTCTTAGACTCTTGCATTTGTAATTTTTTAGGTGGAGCCTCACTTTATGGCTTATACTGTCCTGCATTGTTGGGGTGGACAGACATACACCTCAAAGCCCAGCCATTGTGCTTCCCCGGTAGCTGGGGTAATAATACATGCCACCATGGTCAGACACTGGTTGAGATGGAGTCTGGTAAAGATTTTATATCTGGTCTGGCCTTAAACAATGATCCCCCAATCTCTGTCTCCTAAGTAGTTATGATTGCAGGCTTGAGCCACTAGGCTGGGCTCTAGACATTCATTTTTGCTTCTTGAGAATCTTCTTTCTTGAATTGTTGGTGTTTCCCCTACAGGCCTTGGAAGCTTGTAAAGATGCTGGCTTGGTGAAATCCCTTGGAGTCTCCAATTTTAACCGCAGGCAGCTAGAGCTCATCCTGAACAAACCAGGACTCAAATACAAGCCGGTCAGCAACCAGGTATGATGGCAGTCTCCACTGGCTGGGGAGGAGGACTCAACATCTCAGTTAAGTAACACAAAGAAGCCCTGGGCTTTGTAACAGAAAATCTCCTAGATATTTCACATATAAATCTCATCAAGACCCAGGACCAATCTTTTAACTTCTGTTGATTTGTGTACCTTAAAAAAAAAATACAAAGTCAGGTGCTGGTGACTTATACCTGTAATCCTACCTACTCAGGATGCTGAGATCTGAGGACCATGGTTCGAAGCCAGCGCAGGCAGGAAACTCTGTGAGACTATCTCCAGTTAACTACCAGAAAACCAGAAGTAGCACTGTGGCTCAAAGTGGTAGAGTGCTAGCCTTGGGCAAAAAAAAAAAAACGCTCAAAGATAGCATCCAGGCCTGAGTTCAAGCCCCACAACTGACAAAATAAACAGATAAAAATAATAATAAGACCTTAGGGCTTTACATTTCCTAGGCAAACTCTCTGGAGGTGGAGGTGTGGATTGAGTGGTAGAGTACCAGCATTACATTGTATTATATTATATGCAGTGTGTATTGCAGGAAATTATATAATTAAAATGAATTTCAATGAAGAATTTTGAAAAAGTTTTGTAAAATTTCAGTCAACTACAAAGCCCTAATTTTGTGCTCTGCTTTCCAACTCAACCACACAGGTGGAGTGCCACCCATATTTCACCCAGCCAAAACTCTTGAAGTTTTGCCAACAGCATGACATTGTCATCGTTGCATACAGTCCTTTGGGGACATGTAGGAATCCATTGTGGTAAGTTATTTGTTACGTCTCTTGAGGGCATTGCCTTTAGTGTGGAGTATGAAGCCAATGGGAATTGCTTGATTGGGATGACTCTATGAGGCTGGGCAATCTTAAGAAACTAACACCCCTGTTGGAAACAGCCTGGATACCCTACAATAGAAGAGAGGATCTGAAAAATGTGGTATCTATTCACAATGGAATTTTACACAGCCATTAGAAAGAATAATATTATACCATTTTCAGGGAAATGGGTGTAAGCCAAGCTCAGAGAGATACACTGTGTATGCTTTCTCTCATATGTGGAAGCTAGATCTAAGATACACAGGGACATGATAAATTATACAGCTCTCTAGGAATTCACACACAGTGAGACCAAAGGAGGATACTCATAGGAAAGAAACAGAGAGGCACATGCTATATGCATCTAATCTTATAAAATAATATCTATCAAAATGAACTCCAGGAAATGAAAATATGAGGATTTTTCTTTTTTGCTGTTTTTGTTTTCTTTCCTTTTTGTTCTGTATGTTCATTTCTATGTCTTTTGAGGGGGAGGCACCAAAAAGGAGGGACAAAGGGTGAATAAAATCAGCAATGATACTCACTGGACACTACATTGAAAATGAACTACACAACTTTGGGTGGGGATGGGAAGGAAAAATTAGGAGAGAGCAAGGGAAGGAGTGATATTGTTCAAAAGAAATGCACTCTTTACCTGACTTATGGAACTGTAACCCCTCTGTACATCACCTTTATAATAACAATTTAAAAAATTAAGAAAGAAAAATAAAAAGGAAACTAACAACGCTTTCAAGCCGTTATCCATAAAGTTAAATTATAGCTCATAATATCTTCCTCCCTGAGGTGTTTAGTTGTTGATTACACTGAATGTATGAAATTTCTTACCATAACCAGCATGTAAGAAAATACTTGATACAAGTTTAGTTTCATTATTATATGAAGAGTGGTTCCCGTACATAGTCTGAATTTTTTTTGAAAATTTGTATCTCTGTAGTGATACTTCTGTGATATATCTCACATAGTAAGTAAGTAAGTAGTAAGTTTTCTGCTCCAATTCCAAGAAGTTGACATCTGCTTCTTGTAGTATAATCTGCCTCTTCTTGTATGTTGACTTCTAACCCAGATCATTCTACAAGATTCATTAAAAAAAAACAAAAAAACATTTACCCCCTAAACAAGTCAGCTCATGTCAGGCGCTGGTGGCTCACACCTATAATCCCAGCTACTCAGGAAGCTGAGATTTTAGGATTGTGGTTCAAAGCCAGCTGGGCCAGGAAAGTCTGAGAGACTCTTATCTCTAATTAACTCTCAAAAAGCCAGAAGTAGAGCTGTGGCTCATCTGGTAGAGCACTAGCCTTGAATACAAAAACCCAGAGACAGTGCCCAGACTTGAAGTTCAAGCCCCATATAAGCACCAAAAAAAAAAGTCAGCTCTTGAGAGAGGAAAGATTATGTCCAAAGCAACTCTTTATTCAGTGAGTTCTTAATAACTGTCCCAGTAGGTAACTGGGTATGTAAGGATTGAGGGGAGGGTGAATGGGTGAATCCTTGGTTCTTATCACTTCAGATAAATATGATACATTGTGGGTTTTTTTCCTTTAAGGGTAAATACATCCTCTCCACCATTGTTAAAGGATGCACTTCTAAACTCACTGGGGAAAAAGTACAATAAGACAGCAGCTCAAATTGCTTTGCGCTTCAACATCCAGAGAGGGGTAGTTGTCATTCCTAAAAGCTTTAATCCTGAAAGGATCAAAGAAAACTTTCAGGTAAGAGAATTGCTTTGGGAAATTTAGAAAAAAGACCCTATCTGTTGTTTTGCCTTCCAGAGAAATTGTGACTACCAACACCTAATAATTTCATAACCTTACTCGCTCCCATATTATCAATTATTCCTCCCAACTCTATAACTCCCAACAACAAACAAGCTGTAATCTTCCATCTTAAAAATTAAAATACAATCCTAAAAAATAAAATCCAGCCAGGTGCCCATGGCTCACGCCTGTAATCCTAGCCACTCAGGAGGCTGAGATCTGAGGATCAATGTTCAAAGCAGCCCAGACAGGAAAGTCCATGAGACTCTTATCTCCAATTAACCACCAGAAAACTGGGTGTTGCTCAAGTCGTAGAGCACTCTCCTTGAGCTGAAGAGCTCAGGGACAGCACCCGGGCCCAGCGTTCAAGCCCCACAACCGACAAAACAATAAACAAACAATTAAATAAATAAAATCCAATCCTAGCTACTCAGGATGCTGAGATCTGAGGATGACAAGGCAAAGACAACTAAGGCAGGAATAAGACTCTTATCTCTAATTAACCAGCAGAAAGCCAGAACTAGAGGTATAGCTGACATGGTAGAGCACCAGCCTTGAGTAAATAAAGCCAAGCAAGAGCTTGAGGCCCTGAGTTCAAGCCCCTGTACCAGCGCTAGATAGATAGATAGGTATAAGATAGATAGATAGATAGATAGATAGATAGATAGATAGATAGATAGATAGATAGATAGATAGATAGATAGATAGATAGATAGATAGATAGATGCACACATCCATCCATCCATCCATCCATACATCCATACATACATAATACATAGATGGATAGAATCTAACATAGATACATTTTTCCTCTCAGTATTTCCACCTGGCTCTGTAAATGGTGACATTGACAGCAAACCCCATTGGAAAAGTCCACTCTCATCTCAGTTCTCTGTCCCCCACTGTCTCTTAGACCAGTCAAACCAAACTTTTACCTCAATATCTGAGTAGAACAGTAACCTCCATGCTGCTAGGCCCAGTAATTAGCTTCTGGACCTTACCACATTGGGTACTACTGCAGTTCTTTTCTTGACACATTTATTATGATGAGAAACTGTGAAGGAAGCAGTTTGGAGAAGAGCATAAGGGGCTTTGACTTATAATATGAAATCTCCATTCACACAAGACAACTTGTACATGGAAAACAAGATCCCTGAAAAATCAGTCCACATCAAACACAGAAGAATGTTGCAGAGGGATAATACAGGGAAGGAAAATGTGGAAAATTATCTCAAATTGACAAAAAAAAATTGAGGAAAGTAAGTATACTTATTTTATTCTCACCAAAATTGCAGCTCCAATTGCATAGGTGCACAGACAGCTGGTCGATTCTGTAATATGCCTGAGAAGTTACATGGTAGCACATGACATCATCTTTTTTCAGAATGATATTGAAGGCAATAACTTTCAATACTTCTTGTAGAAGAGAACATGAAGGTTCTGAGTTCAATCTCCAGCACTACAAATAAACAAATAAGTAAAATGAAATAGTTGTTCTAAAAAAAAAATGGAGGTTTGGAGGACTGCATCTAAAGGGGTTCCTTATCTTTGTTTTTTTCCCCCAGTTCATATTCTTCTGATATCTGGCTTCCTATTAGAAAAGTCTCCAGTATCATTTATTGAATTCATGAAACTCTGAACTTTCATAGGAGTTACTGCGCTTTGCTACTAGATTTCACCGTTTATTAACTGGAGCAAAAAACTAACTAACCTAGCAGTTAAGCAAAAAGGAAGTTTAAGTAAAGATTTATTTTTCTAAGTGATGAGGTCAGTCATGACTATTTTTAAGTTACTTAGATTTGATTCCCTATACTGTCTCATAAATGCTGATACTCGAAGTAGTTAAAGAAAAGTAGGCCTGGCACTGGTAGCTTAAGCCTTCAATCCTAGCTATTCTGGAAGCTGAGATGTGAGAATCAAGGTTCAAAAACAGCTGGAGCAGACACATATAAGAGATCTTCACCTTCAGAATATTCAGTTTCCCCCAACACTGGCCCAACCCTCTTCACTTTTCTCAATCATTCCCCCTAGATGCTTGTCTCCTGGGAAGGATTCCCACTGCTGTCTCACCTTGCTGGTCTCAAGCTTGACATGTACTTTTAAAAATATTTGTGAGAAAAAACTGTCTTTTCTATCAAAGTGCATTGCTTAAAAGTTCCTCCTTTGGTTCGGTGGGTTAGCTCTTGTTAAGGAATTTTGAAATGTAAAGTATGGTCTTAAACTGGTTTCTTTTCCAGATGGAATTAAGATACGCCTCAGACTGTACAAGAAATAATAGAGGGTGTAGGTTTATTTTGAGTACTGTTAATCTTATTTCAAAATCACCTTACTCTATTCAACTGGCCAATGAGGAGCCAGTTGTAAACTCGAGTTCAACCAATCTGAGTGGAGGGGCGGGGCCTGCTGTGTTAGGGATAAATAGGGAGCAGCCTGCCTTCTCTGTGTGCTTGCTTGCCAGAGCTTTAGCTGGTGGCACACCCTTCTGCACAGAAGTAAATTTCACCTTGCTGGGGCAGTTCTTTATTTCTGTGTCTGTGGTTGTGACTCCAGTGGTTCATGGAGAGCATATTTAAAACATGTTCTGTCACTTGTTTCTATCATTCCAGATCTTTGACTTTTCTCTCAGTGAACAAGACATGAAGAGCATTGAAGCTTTGAATAAAAATGTCCGCTTTGTGGAAATGCTCATGTAAGTTCTGTAGGATGGCTAATTGGCACTGCGTCATGCCATTGGATTGTAAAGTGTCACCCTATAAAGTCCCCATGAACCCTGATCTGTGTCCATGTAAATACTAAGGTAAAGGACAAGCAGCATGTTCTGGAGAGTAAACATGCCTGGGTGACATGACCCACTCCTTCCTACCAACCTCCACTACTATGACATCTTATTATTTAGATTAAGGCATAACAGGCTAAAAGACCTAGAATAGAGTTAGCTTATAATGTTAAATTTTGTTTGTTAAAACAAGGGACAAATAATGAAATAACGTTACTTCTGCCTTTAAAAAGAAATTCAAGTGGAGCCAGGTGCTGGTGGCTCACACCTGTAATCCTAGCTACTCAGGAAGCTGAGATCTGAGGACTGAGGCCCAAAGCCAATCCAGGCAGAAAAGTGAGCCACCAGAGCTTATTATTTTCTTCTTAATCATTTGTATTAATCTTTCTACTTTTTAAAGTCACCTCAATGGTAGAGAGAAAGAGAAGAAGAGAGAGAGGAAAAGAGAGGGAGAGAATCTTTGTCATCATCACAAATAATACTTGGCATGCAAGCACAGGCACACAGGCAGGCATCCTTAAAGAGCCTGAGCGTCCACATCACCTCCAGCATCTCTGTTTTGGGTGAGATGTCTCTGAGGTAGTGACCAACCTTCCCACACTCTGCTGTCCACACTCTCACACTCACCCCAGCGCTCTGACCAGGGTGCTGGCTTGGAAGGAAACAGGGAAGAAGAATGGAGGAGAAACAACAGGAAAAAGGGGGAAGTGGCACTGTGGCTCAAGTGGTAGAGGGCTAGCTTTGAGCTGAAGAGCTGAGGGACAGCGTCCAGGCCCAGAGTTCAAGCCCCACAACTGACTAAAAAAAATGAGGAAAGAGGGAATGGAGTGATCAGATTCTGGTAACATCTATAGCTGTGCCACTTGGCGAGTGAACTGTTTTCTTTTTGGGGAAATGTTTTGGCAGGTGGAGTGATCATCCTGAATATCCATTTCATGATGAATACTGACTCCAGAGCGTTCCTCAAGAGTTTTCTCTGTCAAAGGTGGACCTTGTATGGTTCTCACAGAAGTGGAAACTAACTGCATTTATCTTTCTTACATGAAGTGATTGAAATACTCCCATACTTTTGACTTAACATAATAATAAAAGGAAAACAACCTTGGATATATGTGTAAACCCAAAAAGTATAAATGATTTTTTAATAACTTTCTGCTAATACTTTTCAGATCAATTATCCTCTAGGTTTCAAACTTTAGAAAATACTTTGAAGGCAATATAGAGAAACAACACACTCATGCAGCTTGGCTGACAGGATCTTGGGAATAACTTTGATGGTTTGGATCATTAATAGCAACACAGGCACAGCCAAGTTAAGATCCAAATACTCATTATCCACAAGGAATTGGTGATCTGTTGTTCCCTGGGAGAGTCTGAAGTATAGAAAAGTGTTCATGTAGAGTGAATTAAACACACAGTAAGGAGCAAGGTCGTATTTACTTTGTTTCCTTCCATTGTGTGTCCTTCAGCTTTTATTTAGCTGGAGGATTTGCTCCTGAAGGCTGGAGTTAACCACATACCTCATGATCACAACCTGTCTCCTAATCACTCTTGCTCACTTTTATCATGAAACCAATATCATGCAATGTTACTTGAAACAACCAACATACACAAATAGAATCCTGCTTTATAAAATAGTCAAAAGATGTATTATTTTAACTGAATGAATTTGTAAAGGTGGTATTAGGAACATTGAGGCATTATAAATTATTGTCCTCTAGGACTCTGAGAGTATGTTAGCATAGCTCAGTAAAAAATTTTAAAGGCAGCAAGTCCAAAAGAAAATTGGTCATATTACTGTAAACTTTAAACTATGAGTAAGATTATTAGAACCCAGCAATAGTGATAGACGCATTTTTCAATTCCACTAGAGAAATACATTTTATTTGTGCACATTTGGTTTCTCTATGTTGCTGATTTTCTTATCTAAGCATTGAATTGATTTTCTAACTTCGTTGATCATCTATTTGAATCCTCTTTGAAATCAATGATCATTTTTAAAAGTAGATCTTTGTGATTGACATTGATCAAGATGCATTGTACTCATAAATTGACATGTTGAATGAAAACCCTTTTGTACAACTCCTTAAAGATAATAAAAGATTAATAATTAAAAATAGGCCTTTAAATTCATTATCTGATACTTCAGCCAATTCATTGTCTTTGGATTTAATTGTTGAGTTTTGAGGCTTTGAATGTGTGACACTGCCTTATACTTTTCTGTCGAATATATGATGATTTTGGCATCTGCTGGGGTGAATATCTCTCATACTTCCTCTTAGAAAAGAGAGAGATGAATGCCATACAAGACCTATATCCAAAGAACTAAAAAGAGATGGGATACATCAATCTCCTTCCCAATAAAGGTGGAGAGAAATAAGTTCAGGTTTTTAAGAGATAAACAGGAGCTTAACACGGTTAAAGTCTTGGAATTAAAAATTAAGTAATGGCCCAACACCTGGTAGCTCACACCTATAATCCTAGGTACTCAGGAGGCTGAGATCTGAAAATCAAGGATCAAGGGCAGCACAGGCAGAAAAGTCCATGAGATTCTTATCTCCAATAAACCACCATAAAACCAGAAGTGGCACTGTAGCTCAAGTAGTAAAGCGCTAACCTTGAGCAGAATAGCTCAGGAACAGCACCCAGGCCTAGAGTTCAAGCCCCACGACTGACAAAAAAAAAAAAAAGAATTAAATGATATGAGGGATAGAAGTTGGGAAAGGAAGGAAATAGGAAGATAGAAAGGTAGCCAAGCCAGGCGCCAGTACCTCACATCTGTAATCCTAACTCCTAAGGAGGCTGAGATCTGAGGATCACAGTTCTAAGCCAGACCAGGCAGGAAAGTCTGTGGAGCTCTTTTTTAAAAAATACATATTTTTATTGAAAAGATACTGTACAGAGTGGTTACAGTTACATGAGTAAGGTAATGAGTACATTTCCTATTGAGCATTGTTACCCCCTCCTTTGTTTTTTTCCTACCATGCCTTCCCATCCCACTTCCTTAACTCCTGCCCCCTCTTGTAAAGTTTGTTTTCAACATAGGGTCTTGTACATCTCATTGGTACAATGGGTTAAACTGTATATCTATTTAAGCATTTTGTTTTTTCCCTTCCCCTCCCAAAATTAGAAACATGTATATACAGGATGCAGGGCACCAGAATCAAATACAGTGAAAACAGGGGTTATACTGTGGGGGAGAAACATACCAAAGAAACAAAAAAAAAATCACATAGTACATTATAAATATGTTAAAAACAATAGCAAGAAAAAAACCCATTTGTGTCCCAGTCTTGGGGTTCATTTCACTTATCATCTTATATGTGCATATGTACATAGCTTTTGACCTTTTCTGCTTGTTCTAGACATATACTTGTTATTCATGGGACCCTATGTTTCTTTGGGCCTGCCTTACTTCACTTATCATTTTTTCCACATCTTTCCATTTCCTAACAAATGGGGCGATGTCATTCTTTCTGATGGAGGCATAGAAATACATGTGTGTATACACACACACACACACACACACACACACACACACACACACACACACACACATATATACATACATATATATGACATTTTCTTGATCCATTCATCTACTGAGGGGCATCTGGATTGGTTCCATATCTTAGCTATGGTAAATAATACTGTGATAAACATAGTTGTGCTGGTAGCTTTAGTATGGTCTTGTCTGTGATCATTTGGGTAAATGCCCAAAAGAGGGATTGCTGGGTCATAGGATGGAGCTCTATATGTAATATTTTGAGGAAACTCCATACTGCTTTCCAAAGTGGATGAACAAGTTTACACTCCCACTGATAATGAAGTAGGGTTCCCTTCTGGCCATATCCCCTCCGGGATCTGTTATTATTAGATTTCTTGATTATAGCCATTCTAACCGGAATGAGGTAGAATCTCAATGTTGTTTTGAGTTGTATTTCTTTTATGGCTAGAGAAGTTGAGCATTTTTTCATGTGTCTATTGGCCATTCTTATTTCCTCTTCAGAGAAATCTCTCTTTAAGTCTTTAGCCCATTTATTCATCGGGCAGTTGTTTCTTTGAGGATTTGTTGTTGGGGGATTTAGTTTTTTGAGTTCTAAGTATATTTTAGATATGAGACCCTTGTCCATTGTATGGCTAGTGAAGATCTTCTCCCAGTCCATGGACTTTCTGTTGATCTTGCTATCTATGTCCTTAGCCTTGCAGAAGCTCTGCAGTTTCATGCAACCCCATTTGTCCAAACTTTCTATGATATGTTGTGTTTCTTGGTCTCTATTAAGAAAATTTCAGCCTGTGCCAAAGAGCCCTAGAATGTCTACTATTCCTTCCTGGAATGTTTCCAGGGTGTCTGCTTTGACTTTAAGGTCTTTGATCCATTTGGAGTTGATTCTGGTGCAAGGTGACATATACAGATCTAACTTTAGTTTTCTACGGGTGTTTAGTCAATTTTGACAACACCATTTACTGAAAAGGCTGTTTTTCTTCCATTTTATTTTTTTTAGCTCCCTTATCAGAGATTAGGTGGCTATAGGTATGTGGGTTCATTTCTGGGTCTTCAGTTCTATTCCATTAGTCCTCAGATGTGTCCTTCTGCCAGTACCAAGCTGTTTTGATTGCTGTAGCTTTGTAGTAGAGTTTGAAATTTGGTATTGATATTCCTCTAGCACTATTCTTTCTGCTAAGGATCACCTTTACTATTCAGGGTTTTTTATTGTTCCATATGAATTTTGGGGTTGCTCCTTCTGTTTCCTTGAAGAATGAGGTTGGAATATTGAGAGGTATCACATTGAATTTGCAGCTAACCTTTTGCAGTATTGCCATTTTCACGATGTTAATCCTCCCAATCCAGGAGCATGGGAGGTTTTTCCACTTCCTAAGTTCTGCTTTAATTTCCTTTTTCAGGTTTTTGAAGCTTTCATCATAGAGGTCCTTCACTTCTTTAGTTACGTTAACTTCTAGGTATTTTATTTTTTGTGGGGCTATAAAGGTGTGTTGCATCTTGTCAAATGCTTTTTCTGCATCTATTGAGATCACCATGTGGTTCTTATCCTTGCTCTTCTTGATGTGATGAGTCATATCAATTGATTTGCGTATATTGAACCAGCTTTGCATCCCTGAAATAAATCCTGTTTGATCGTGGTGTATGATTTTTTGGATGAATTGTTGAAGTCGATTGGCCAGAATTTTGTTGAGAAGTTTTGCATCAATGTTCATCAAACAAATGGGTCTATAGTTCTCTTTCTTTGATGAGCCCCTGCCTCCTTTTGGGATGAGGGTTATGATGGCTTCATAGAATGTGTTCGGTAGTGAACTTTCTCTTTCAATTTCATTGAAGAGTTGGAGGAGTAGTGGTGTAAGCTCTGCTTTGAAGGCCTTGTAGAATTCTCCTGTACAACCATCTGGTCCTGGGCTTTTCTTAGGTGGGAGGTCTCTTATTGCTGTTTCTATTTCAAGGCTTGATATGGGCTTGTTAAGATGGTTTAACTCATCTTGGTTTAGTTTTGGCATGTCAATATTTGCTAGTAAAAGGTCCATTTCTGCCAAGTCCTCAAACTTATTAGCATAAAGTTTTGAGAAGTATTCCCTTATAATGTTCTGAATCTTGGTTGTTTCTGTGGTGATGTTTCCATTCTCATCTTTGGGTTTATTTATTTGGTTGTGTTCTCTTCTTTTCCTTGTAAGATTTGCTAAGGGCCTGTCAATTTTGTTTATTTTTTCGAAGAACCAACTCTTTGTTTTGTTGATTGTTTCTATGGTTTTTTTGGATTCTAATTCATTAAATTCTGATTTAATTTTAATTATTTCTTTCTGTCTACTGGATTGGGGTTTATCTTGCTACTCTTTTTCAAGGAGGTTCAGCTGTCTCATTAAATTGTTGGTTTCAGATCTCTCCAATTTGTTGATGTAGGAACTCAGAGCTATAAACTTGCCCCTGAGTACTGCATTTGCTGTGTCCCAGAGGAGCTGGTAATTTGTGTGCTCATTTTTGTTGAATATCATGAACATTTGAATTTCCTTTCTAA